AACAGTTGTTTGTACACCAATTTCTTAACTCAAGTGAGGCATTATTTTCCAAGGCGTTCCCACAGAGCCGTTACCTGGCAAGTAGATGGTATTTACCTGTCAGTATTCCACACCTGGGATGGCATGCCTTTACCTGAACTACGGTATACCCCCCGTACTTCGGTCCTGACGATAAGGTATGTGCAAGAGGTACAGTGTCTGTACGTCAGTGTTCGCGAATAGTGTCTGACCCTCTGACAAGTCTGGCAGATTCGCCAACGGTCCGATAGAAGTCTACAACCCACCGGCCCCAGTGTCTGACTGTATATTTCACAATGACTTTGACTGAAGTTGTTATATGTGAAATTTGACACTTGTTTGCTGTTTATTTTATCTTAATTTTTCTTATGTTTGTTAATAATTTCAATGCCAATTATAAGAAATGTTAAATCTGAAATGTGTGTTTAATTTTATTCCATGGGTCCTGTGAATTTTCAATGGGTCAGACAGACATCTTAAACTTACAGGACCCAATGTCCTGTTACTTTGAAACAGCATTCGTGAACACTGGTACGTGGGGGCCCTTGGAACTTTACCGTAGTTACTCCAGGAAACACAAGACAATGATCTTCATTCAATAGTTTTATTAACACTGTGTTGCTGGTCAACCCACTCTATGGTCACTCTATAAGACTTCAGCCACAAAGCTTCAGTCTTAAGCCAAATGCTGGTGCTTCAAGATAATTTCTGAGACGATTCCTAGTGACCAAACATAAAGAGTAGGCGAGCACCAGACTCCCCGTCTCTGAACTTTGCTTCAGCTTAGAGCTGGGTTCCTACGTCACAGCCAACACCCTTCTCCATTTTTTTTCATTGGTCAATAACCCATAACCCTGATTATCTATTTCTCTCCCCGATCTATTTCGTACCCCCAATACCATATTTGTAAGACTGTGAGGTGGATTCCAGGAATATCAGAGTTTCTCTCCCCTAACCATATATGACTTGTAGAATACCAAGAACTGGTACCAAGGTCCCCAGACTATTGCTCCATCTTGCTAGCACAGCAGTTTTCCCCTTACCTAAGCTGTGAGTCACCTCATCTTGCCCCATCAAGCTCTAACGACCTACTTTCATGTTTATTACCTCCGCTACTGAGTTCTTACCTTACAAACATTATTAATCACTTCATATCTTAAATATATACTGAGTCAAAAAAGAAACTTCACATTCATTCACCAGGGCACTATAAAAGAACAAGAGATGGTAAGATGGTTAAATTGGTGTTATTTCATTGCTGAGATCTGTGTGATGTACTCGATACACTGACAGTGCCATAATCAGTTCCATTAGGCTACACCGCCGCTCCAAAACATGGGTATACAGAATGTCAAGTCACAAGAATAAAAATGCGAAATTTCTCAGTTCAATATCGTGTATGGCCGCCCCACGCATTCACCACTGCCAAACACCGTCTCCACATCGACTGCCTGATGCTTGTGAACACGTGGTTGGGGATTCTGCACCATTGCTCTTGCAAGGCAGCGCCAAGTTCCTGCAAATTCTGAGGTTGGTTCCTAAGACCACGAAGCCTTCTCCCAAGTGCACCCCAAATGTGCTCTATCGATTAAGGTCAGGGGACCTCGATGGCCAGTCCATGGCGTTGATTCCAGAGTTTTGAAGGAAATTTCGTGTCAACATCGCGGTATCGCGGCCGAGCATTATCATGCTGGAACTGTAGACCTGGGCCATGAGCCGCCATGAAAGGAACGAGTTCAGGGGTGAGCAGCTGGTCGCGGTGAAGCAGCAGCTGTGAGGTTTCCACGGATGACCAGAAGTCGGGAACAGTTGTTCCCACAGAAAGCACCCACACCATGCAACTTCCGCCCCGAATCTGTCGACTTCCTGTACAAAACATTGGGCATACCGTTCACGGCGTCGTCTCCAGACTCTATGCCTGCCGTCCGCGAATCTGAGGGTAAACCTGGATTCATCGCTAAAGACGACTTCGATTCCAGTCTCTCTGGGTCCATCGGAGGTGGCGTTGGGCCCACAGCAGGCGTTGGCGTTGATGAAGCGGCGTCAATATTGGCCCACGATATGGGCGTTTAGAATGGAGATTGGCAGCCCGCAACCGATTTCGAATGGTCTGTGAGGACAGTCGACCTCTAAACATCTCAGCCCTGGTTGGTGTAGCCGGCAGAAATCTGTCGCGTAGGTGGCGTAGGACGATTGACGGTCTTCTGCTCGTGGCGTCACTGCGTGGGCGACCGACCTTGGGCGATCAGAAGTGGTGCCAGTTTGTTGTAGATGACCTCGCAAGTCATACACAGTACGACGGCTGCATCCCATTGCTCTTGCGACGTCAATAATGATCTTCCCGCTTGCAACATGCCAACGACAGGTTCACGTTGCACATTGGACAATCGTGGCATTTAAGTACCGTTAGAACTGTGGTTTAAAAGTGTTTTTTCAATTCTTGAGGCCAATGCAAACACGTGCATATGAAGAAAACTTCGATGCGAAGATCACGTGATCGACTGCACGTGCAAAACCTGATTTGGCACTAACGTCATTTGCACGACGAATGGATGGGTTTGAGTGGGTTTTGCTAACGTTTTTCTAGAGTTGAAAGATAGGGATCCCATGTCGGATACATAGATGTATCATCAGAGAAAAATTATTCATTATTTTTCAAATTACATTTTGTGAAGTTTCTTTTTTGACTCAGTATATTATTAAATCTTATCATAATTTATATCTTATTACATCTTAATCACCTGTTATTAATAATGTCAATTGTACATCTATTATTGTAGCAATTACCATAATCTCATGCCTATAATACGAGCCCCCGTCTAACGAAGAGTGTGTCCCCACAATCTAAAGGACTGTGACACCGAGACCCAAGCTTTTTCTGGATATCCTGATAATTTGGTATTTTTTCCTTGTTTTTGTTGTGGCCATGGGGTTGATTGACAGCAACCATATAGATACAGATATAGGTTAAAACATCAAGCAATCTTATTCTATTTCAAACAATAACAATATAATAAACAAGAAGGAGTAGATGGCTAATAATCCAATAATGACATTATATATATTTGTACATAGGTATACATATTCTAAAGCTACCAATAAAAAAAAATCATTGCAATATATGTGGGTAGATCAGCTATTGAGCAAGTGATGTTAACAGTTAATACGGTTATCTCCCAAAACTTCTACATGCCAAAACTTCTACATGCCAAAACTTCTACAAAATGTCAAGACAGAATTAAGCACGTACCTATGGGTATGATGGAACAGCCCAGGGGTGGGATTATAGAGGGAGTGGTTGGGAGTAGAGGATTACAGGAGTAGAGGACTACATTGTCTCCACATGGGTGGACAATGATGCCAGATTCCCTATCCAACTTTGGAATCATCACCTGACAGTCAGACCCCGTACCAACAACAACTTGGAGGGATTCCACAGCAGACTCAACCAGACCTTGCCCCATCGATCGCCATCCAAATATCTTCAGATTCACTGAAGTGATTAAAAAGATTGAGACTGCTCAACTTGAATTTTGAGCAGCTCCATCCACAAGAAAACGTGTCTACAGGGAGACAGAGAATCGACTGATGAGACTGAAGGACAAGCTGCTCACCAGGCAGAAAACACCACTGGAATTGCTAGATGCTGTCGGCCACCTCCTAAAACTTGCCTAATGATATAAGAACAATCAGACATTATGTTGTGACATTTCAAATCGAAATCAGTGCTGACGTTGTTATAAGACTATTAAGACAATACCATGTATTTTTGAAAAATCATATAAAATATTGATATATTACATGTTATGATATTTATCTGTCAATAAACAGTTCATCATGCACCTACATGTATTACCTCTTGTACTTTTATTCAACTTGACCTTTAGCCTAATTAAACCTAACTAGTCCATCCAGTTCACTTGAGGTAAGGGACAGGTGATTAGCTGTGCACTGGACCATGTATTTTGTTGTTTTAGTTTGTAGAAGTTTTGGCATGTAGAAGTTTTGGCAGGACATCTGTGGTTCTAAAGGAACCGGAAATGATGTCATGGAACTGGAAGTGGCATCACATGATTGGAAGTGACGTTATATCTCACATATTCACAAATATAATTCCCTCTTAATTGCCATCCTTCCCAGATGGGGGTGGAATTAGAGATATTTATATGCATTCATCTGTTACTTTCAAGGTAATCTAAGGTATGCCAGAAATTCACAGTAAAAGTAAGGATTCTCACAATTGTTTGGTCCATGTATTGATCAAGATCATGCAATTACCATGTTCTAAGAATTATTGTGATTAATTGGTAATCCTTCTAGGAGCTAGCTTCTGTATACCCACCACCCTGGCTAGCACAACCCAGAGGAAATGTTTACACCTATAATTATGAACAATCACAATTATTGTTTGTAAATATGAGTAAACATGCCTCCAGGTTTGTGCACTGGATACCCATCCAGATATGCTATCAAATCCGCCCCTATCTATATATTACATTAGTCCTGCTGGAGATTTTGAGATGGCGGAGTTCAAGAGAGTACATCTAGGGATGTAACTAATGCTCCTCATCGGGGCACCTTCCAGGTAATTGCTTCCCTTGGATTTTTTATTCTTTATTTATTCTAAAGGATAGTCTGTAACACACATCACAAAGTGGAAGAGCAAAAGGCTAGCACAACCCAGAGGTAAGTTTACTTATAATTACAAACAATAATTGTGATTGTTCATAATGGATCAATCTATTCTTTCCTTACCATCCATATGGAGACCCCCCTAATCTTTACCCCCTCATTCCAGGTACAAGAATCCTCATACATGGCAATAATAGCAAACCTCCTAGCTCGCTTGACAAGTCTTTTACAGATGTATTAGGTTGGGATCTTCCATGATCTGAAAACTGTATATGGTTGCTGATCAAATTTTGATAATATAATCTGTATGTTCATATTAGAAGATAACGATGAGTTTGTCATTATTTCAGACACCAAGCACAAATCACTTGCTCTTCTAGAGATGAGAAAATCCTTGCCGCCTATCAAAGAGAGAGAAGAAGTGCTAGCCAGGTGGATGGATGAGGGTTGGTACTACAGAGGTAAGTAGAATGCAGTCTGTGGATGTGGTACCATTTGTACAGAATGCAAAATTGCCTTTCTAACATATTCTTGAAGTTTATTCCTCTTATATTCTTACACATCAGGGACAATTTCTTTATGGACAGACAACAAGATGTTGTGTTTCAGAGGCAGATCAATTCAGCATATTTTACAAGCTGTCGGCAAACCAGCTACAAGCAACAAAGAAGATCGTTCAGGCTTTGTCTACCACATTCAATGCAAATGTGGTGACTCATATGTAGGTGACATCAGGCATCTGTGAAGAAAAGAGATTCCAAATCAGACATCTCCGACTATACCCAAGCTCATATGAATCTGACCATCCTTTGGAACAACATCAACATCCCAGAAATCCCAACCATACCATCAATTGGCAAGACACTGACATTTTGGGCGTCAACATCAGCAATTGGTGGGAAAGAAAATTAGGGAAGCTCTCTGGATCCACCGTGCCAAGCCAGAAATTAACAGGGATCAGAGCATTTTCCTGCTGATTTGCTGGGTGCATACAATAATTGACTGTTACTGGCATCTCAATCACTGTACATTATAAGTTGTTTACTGGTCACGAGGGGGGGGAATGGGTTGATATACCCTTAATGTTTGTTTATGTTCCCTGAGCCCGAACATAAACAAACATCGAGGGTACATCAACCCATGCCCCCTCGTGACTCAATGTTATTCGAGATAAAGAATTACTACCGCGAAGTACCAAATGAGTTGCCACTGACAGCGGGGTACATTGAAATGTTACTCGCTTGGAAGCGGGGTACATTGATAATAATAGAAGAGCGCTCCGCCAATCAGAAAGTGACATTTATGTGTGAGGTAAGATAAGTTTTGATGTGTGTCTTCCAATCACTGCTTTCATAAGTGGCTTCAAATCAATGTATATCCTTTTTTGTTGTATAAACACTCTGTACATACCAATCTACTGCATAAACATACCACTTAATCTCTTTTGAACTCTATACTTTTCAATCAAAACATATCACTTAATCTCCTTGATCTCTGTACATCTCAATCTTTAATTCCATCTCAATGGCCTCCTGTACATTAAATATATGTTGCTTGTCATTCACCTGATTAAATTGTATTTTCTTCTTTTTCGTGCCAGTCTACCAGCAGTCTGGATCTGGAGAAGAACAGTATCTGCATGAGACTGCTCCTTCTTGATGATATCCACAAACTTGAAGATGTTTGGATGGTTGGGACCTATCTAGTTTAGATAAACCAACCTTCCAAGTGTTTGATGGTCCTGGAACCGATTGTATAAAAGTGGTTCCAAACACTACGCCCCTCCACCTTGACCCACTGTTCAGTTAGATAGTCAGTGAATCTCACAATCATAGCATCTTCAGGGTCAGCATTCTCAAGGGCATTCAACCAGATGTGGTCAATGTCATGGATGAGTCTACTTACACTGGGGTCATTGTTGAAGAGTGTCTGGAGACCACATTTTTCTGCATTTCTCCACCTGGCATCCTTTCATTTGGCAATTGAACATATTTCTGACAGCATTTTCAGGCACAGTATGTTCAGGCAAATCCGGATTCTTTTCGGAGCAGGAGCTCTTTTCAACCCAAAGCAAGGAAACAACCCAGATCCACATCCCACAGCAGAGGTGTGCAGAACCCAAACGCAGCTCGTGGAGCTGGATCCGGTGAAGCTGTGACTGCCTTCCACCCCCATGCAGTTGTCCCGATCCTGGATCTGGAAGAATTGGTACATATACTTACAAATGAACCTTTTTGGTAGACCTCTTTGTCGTATCTACACTGAGCTTGGGCTACAAACCACCGATCATAGGATCTTCACTGCTGATTAGTGATCCGGTTTGCCGAATCTACTGCCTCGGCTTAAATGGCAGCTCAGCAAAACAATTTGGGTACGCTACTAAAGAAGCTAGCGATTGAATCAGCCCAACACCACCAAGTTACTTCACCAGCTAGGCTGGATGATCAACACCAAGAAGTCAGAACTGATTTCAACTCAGCGATTGCAGTTCATTGGGGCTGTATTCGACACTCGTAAGGAGAAATGTTTGTTCCCTGTGATGTATGTTTCAAGATTCAACATACTATACCATTAGTGCTGTCTCAAGAGAGAACTCTTCAACAGTGGCAGGGGCTACAACTAAAACTGCGGCTGATCCAGAGATTTCTATGTCCGTTCCCGAGGCTCGAAGATCCCCCATGTGCCGATCCTTCTACATTCGTTGCTTAATGGTGGCTTGATGAGCCGAACATGTATGAAGGAGTTTGATTGACGCCGTTCCTGAGGCTCATCACCTATTTGTAGATGCATTGCTTCGAGGATCAGTTCCCTTCACCTAAATAAACTGGAGTTCAAGGCAGTCATCATGGTATTAAGACATTGGGTGAAGGATTTACAATTGACCAGTCTTCAGACAACTTCACGATAGTGTGGTACATCAGTCATCTGTGCACAACAGGTTTGTCGTACCTCCTAGGTTGGACGATCCAGTTCTTCCTAGCAATCTCAGCAAGAGTCCGACATATTGGGAGTAAAAAATGTCATTGCCGTCATTCTTCAATCTACAGAAGCTACGCTCCATACTGGCCAACTCCTTCGTTTTTTGGTTTGCCAATCTTCTAAGAGTTGATCCAGAACCATTGGCTCTCCCCATGGGAAATGATGTGTTGATTCATCCTCACGCAGATCGACTACACTGGTCCCCACAGATGCTACATCTACATTTTTGGTGCATCAAGGGCACTCCAAAACTTGCTTCAGCAATTACTTCAGCTGATCATACTTTTACGCGCTCTTTACATGTGGAAGAAGTTTGAAGACTACTCCAGATTGAAAGGCATGCTGTCTTCTGCTACAGCATCCACCCAGGTTGTTGCTGAATACCTGAGCATCTGAATATGTCAAGGAAACTGAAGGCTTCTACCCTTGCTACTTACTTAGTAGCTATCAATGCACTTATAGCTACGGCGACCGAGAATAAGATTTCAACTGTGCCATAACTCCAGTCACTACTGCTCTCCTACAAGTTATCCAATCAATCTTGATCGTTCTGTGACATCTCAGATGATTATGAACCTCTAGAAGAGAAGAACTTCGAGCACATTACTTCAAAACTTTCTTTCCAGTAGCATATGTCCGCTGGGTGACTTCATCAGAGACTGAGAGACCATTCTTGTACTATGATGCAGAGGTGATCAACACTCTTACTGGTTGACCTCTAGTCTATGAGCAATCATTCCAGTGGAATTTCGATGCGTTCCTCTCCTGGTTGCCGAACACATCCTTGATCAAGCTTAGGCAAAGAAGCAAGTGTCATTCTATGTCTTTCGGAACTGAACATTAGAAAGTTGAGGTAACTGAGCCATTCCACCTTTTGCCTTTATGTGTGATCGCAGGGGATGTTTTCGAAGCAGGGGCTGGCCAGACTAAAGTCACCAGATTTCTGGAAATCAGGGCGAAGGGGGAACCTGACTGTTTCCTTATTTGTCCTTTGACAAATGATATGGCTTGAAAACACCTAAACTCAGAAGCGCCCACTCCCTGGGAGTTTTGTGCTGTGTAGCGCTAAGGGGTTTATAAGAAGCAACCCATCACAAGTGAGTTATGCAGTCAATTGGGAGTTTGCACTCACAACTCGCCTCCTTGTGCATCATTATCACCATCATCAGAAGGGATGTGCTTCCAATGGAGAACTTGGGCACTCTCCTCATCTGTGCCCATGCCATCATTTCGTTTATGTCATGCTGTTTATGCGAAGGAAGGACATCCACTAACACAGTGTTTAGCAATCTTAGCTGATTCATTACAAAGTCAGCATTTCATGTTAACATTGGGATTTTTGTCATTTAGGACATTTATCAAATGTAATATATGTCAATTTTGGGATTACACTTTCTGAGTAAAGAATATATAACTATATATAAAGTACTCATCAGATCGCAGAGAATACACTCATCATAGAGAACAGCAATCTTATGATTACAGTTCAAACAGTACAGGACACATGGATAGCATTGACCATACAATCTGAGATACCACTAGCTCTCCATCATATGAAACAGCCAGTCATGGACAAGGAAAAAGAACTGGCATCGTTGGGTTTATCTATGGAACCTTCAGAATACACCTTTGCTGATAAGTTAGCAAATCTGGATTTGTTAGTTCCTTAATCCATGTCCTTCATGTCAGACCATGAAGAATGGTGCAAAGATACAAAGGCCAGAAGCTCTTCTTTTCAAAATCAGACAAAACGCAAGCTTCCTCGGTCATCATTTGTATCCAACATACTGGAAGACTTAAATGAAGACATAACCTTTCTCTAGTATCTGCTCATCATTGCAGACCATAGACTGTTAGCTGTCAGATAACAAAGCCTTACTCTTGTAATGGGGGAGGATTATGATAGGTGCTATAGATATTAGAAAGGGATGGATTAGCGTTAGTAACTTAGTTGGGGGTATAAATTATAAATTCTGGTATATTAAATGGATCTTTCTTACCGGTGTTCGCGGAGACACGTGGGTTACGGCTGTCGCTGGTTTGTTTGGTTTCGCTTGCGTTTCGGCGCAGCGATTGGCTGCACGCACTGGAAGGTTCCATTCCAAGGGTGGGGGTGTGCTCCTCGCTTAGTGGGATAGGCCCTCTCTTGCGTATATAAGGAGCGCACAACAGGTGTTTTATGGTCTGAGTTGGAGACACCCAAGGATAGGTGAGCCCTTGTTTCGAGACGAAACAGCTTCCCAGTTTGCTTTGTGATAAAGTAGACTTTGCTCCATGATGGACCAGTCCTTGTTTCGAGACGAAACAGTTGACCCCCCTCTCACGGCGAAGCACTTAGGAAATAGGAGGGTAGACAAAGGTATAGGTGGTTGGGGGGAATAAAGGTATTTAGTTTCAGGAATATACTTATATACTTATATATACAGGGTAATTGGTAGGAAGCAGGAAGGACGGGTGGTTTTTACAAACTGACTGTTAAGAG